GGATCAAATGTTGAAATCAATCCCGTGCTCTATCAATTAAAACAAGTTCTGCTGTTAAATTTAACACTCCTGATAAGATTTTCCTTTGGGAGTACATTGCCACACTCGGTAACACCGATAATAAAAGATTGCCCTTCCTGGAGACCCTCATACAAGAAATGTAAGAGAAGATTGGTGAATGTTTTTCCATTTCGATGAAGAGGTATGTATTTGATTCATATTGTAGTTATGCAAAATCTTCTGTTCATTATTATTTACTTTTGGTAGCATATACTTATTGATTAATGCTAATAATGTACAACAATAATTCGATCGAGGTTGTACTTCTGATGGTGCAATATAACACTCATCAATGCAGTAGTTTCAAATTTTTATTGATGTCATATTTATGTTTGACTCCCTATAGTTGTTTGTTGCCCATAATTGCATACAAATGATTCAATATTGTGCTACGTTCCACCAATGTTTGCTCTGTTTTTGTGTGAAACTCCAGATTACCAAAGAAAGTTGGGTCCTATGTCGGGGTACAAAAGATGGTGGAAGGCAAAAAATATGTTGGATGGTGATTTTTTTATAATTAGGATCAATAAAAAATGCGATTTTTTTTTTGGTAAGTCCCTTGATTTGGACTGTATAATATTATTTATCAACTCTTTATTTATTTTTTTTCAGTGTGTACATCCTTAACAACCAAGAGTTATCTAGGTGGTCTTGTGTTTTGTTTGTATATATGCTTTGTTTAACTTTGCTGTTTTTTGGATTGGAACTATTGGATTTCTATATGTAACATGAGCCACTCAATTCCTTTGCCGATTCACATGAGAAACCTCTAACTTTTTGTTTGATTGGAGGATTTAAAAAGAAAAAGGAAAATAGTAAGTGAAATGTGAATAAAGTATAATTATATTTTTATTTACTTTTACACATTTTTCGTTTAACGCTGTATTTGATTAAAAAATTTAAAAAAAGAAAGAGATTTGGTCCCAGTCTCTAGCTTTTTCCCTTTCTTGGATTTATTTTTCTTTCACCGCCGACCACAACTTTACTTCGTCCCATCCTTCTCACCTTCAGCCACATACTGCCCCACCAACCTGAACATCTATTGAATCACATTTGTAAGAAAATTGGTGGATTTTCATATTGGTAGTTATTTTATTTTATTATATGGTTTTGTAGTTTGTTATTTATAGTTCATTGAATCTTTTTGTGTGGCCCTTTGAGACTTTGTTATTTGGGAAAATTATTTTTTTTAAAAAAAATATCTAGGGTTTGACCGTTATAATAAAGTAAATCTTGAATTTTTAATTTTTGTCAAATTAAATCTTTAATTTTTTACCCTTAATTGTTTATTTGTTTTTAATTTAAATTATTTTTCTATTTTCATTCAACAAAATGGACTAAAAAAATGATATTTTAGTCATTTAACTCAATGAAAAAGAGTATTTTAAACATTTTATATAAATTTACCTTGAGTTTAATATTAAAATATTATCTTTTTCCGGTTTTAATCAACAAAAATAGATAAATAATTTATATTGAATACAAATCAAAATATTGAAATTTAAATTAACAAAATTAAAAATTAAAATTTATTTTATTATAAAACTCTAATCTTGAAATGTTTTTGTAACTGTCCCTGTTATTTTTTTTTTCTTTTCTTGTTCGATATGTTATTTATTTTTATTTTAATATAATGTAACTGCAGTAAAAAAAATTTCCTTCGCAGATTCACGTTACAAACCTCTAGCCACTTAAAGCTCCTACCTACATCTTCCAATCAAGAGGCCAAGATAGATCCTCTTGCTGGGACTTAATTGCTTTCACCAAAGTGAGAGACTCCCCCATCAATATGAATGCATCCAATTTCCAAATCCTATAGGCCAAATCTCTGTACTTGTTGAGTTTTCAAATATATATATTTTTTAAAAATTATTCTCTTCACCTCTTATCGGCTTTAGTTAACTTTTTTCATATTTAGTCAAATTATTTTACTTTTTAAATGTACTTAATCTGGATATATATATATATATATATATATATTTAAAAAAAATAATCTAGATGTATTTAAAAATAAAAATCTTTATGAAAATTTTCAATCTATATAACAATGGAAGGGTGAGTTTGAAAATGTCTTTGAATTTAATGGTTTAGATCTATCTAATTTAAAAAGCAATGGCTCAGATTTATTCCTAAAAATATATCTCTCACAAACTATCTTTAATGGTTTAGATTTGTCCAATTTAAAAACAATAGCTGAGATTGAAAAGAGTTTTAATGGTCTAGATTTATCAATGACTAAAATTCAATGGTTCAGATTTGTTTACCAGTCTACTCTCACCAACCCACTGCACTTACCTCTCTTTACATCATTTCTTCACATCATGTGTATCATCTGTATCAATGAACAAAGCTCTGAGAAAGTTTTGAAGAAGGAAGAAAGCTCAATCGAAACCTCTCCTCTCCACAATCACCAGGTAAGCTCATCCCGTCTCTTCTTTACACCATGGCCATGTTTGTTTAGGTGGACATGAGCTTAGAATTGGACTAAATTTCCACTAATTTATTCATATATATATATATATATATATATATTTTATGTTTTTAGTACACCAAGATCATGTTTGTTTGAATAGACATGAGTTTGGAATTGAACTAATGATCCAATAAAATTATTAATCTTATGTTTGGTTAAGTAATTGAAGTACGGACTAACAATTCATTCGGATATGATATCCTACATATGATGGACTATTCAATCCCACAGAAAGGGGTGTGATATAAATTGGAGGACTACGTCAAAGCCTGGACTATTAGTCTTCTCTCATAATGCTAACTCAATTCAAACATAAAATAAGATACATAATTTAAAGGATTTGCAATCTTAAGATTATTAGTCATGAAAATACTAATCCAACCTAATTCAGTCCGTTCAAACAAACATGACCTCAATGTCACTATTTGATTTGATAATAATGAATTGCACTTCACACGTGATGGGGGAATAAAAGTATAAATTACGATTTAAGTAGTAGTAATTAATTTATGATGGGTGGAGGTCAAACTTGGTGTTCATTGCTTACGTTCAAAATCCATTCTGACTGCTCCACACGACACAAAAAGAAGGTGAAGAAGATGGGTTTGAATGAATTTGCTGAAGGCGGTTTTTCATCATTTTCCATTTTCAAGTCTCTTGCCGTTCAATCCACGTTGTCTTACGTCTCTGCTTACCTTTCATATCTTCTTCTACAAAAGACATTTTCACTCCAATTTATTACAGCCATGCCATCTCAAGTTGACTAATAAAATGCAAATGGAAATACAATTCCACACACACACAAAATAAATAAATAAATAAATTAATTAATTAAAATAAAAATACTAATAAAGTCACCGAAACACAATCATTGCAAGACTATTTAATAATTGGAGACGTTTTTCGTCCAGTCTAATTGTGTAGTTTTGGGATTTGTGGGTTCATTTTGTGCTTTTATTATTTTTATTATTATTTTTATGATGGTGGCCGTCCAAAGTGTGTCAAATAATATTAGAGATTTTAAAAATTTTACTAAATTTTTTATTAAATATCTTGCAAAAATGTAAAATTTACATAAGATTCACATGGTCCGAGTTTTACACATTTGATAAAAAATTTGATATAACTTTTAAGATATCTAATATTTTTTAAGTTTAATATCATTTTAGTAGATCATTCATTTAAAAAATTAAGTTAATTGAATAATAATAACTACCTACTTGAATCATATTTGTTTTATAAAAATAGATAATCGATTCTTGATTTTATACTTATCATCTATCTTTTAAAGAAAAAAAATATATAATTCAAATATAAAATTATTAATATTTGATTAATTTTATTTTTTACATAAATAATTTATTCAAAAGATATCAAACTTTAAAATGAACCAAAATGAGCTCACAAATTCCCAATCTACACTCACCAACCAAAATGTACTCAAGGTAAGCTGCCTCTTTAATAATTATGTTTTGCTCGTCCTTTTAAATGATTTTGTTTTGATCTATAAAACTAGACATGGAAAAATTAGAAAAAATACTTTGTCAATTAAAATAGAGGTATGCTTGAATGATATGATTAGATGATTGGTTGGACGATTGACATCATTTTTATTAATTGGTGTGTCAGCTAGTATTACTCAAATAACTGACATTCTTCTAAATGGCTAATTAGACGATCGATATGTACAAATTAAGGCCAAGTTTGGCTAAACTAAAAAAGTACACTTATTTCATATTTTTATCTTTTTTGAGTCACATCAATCAATATCTCCTCTCTATTTTTTTTACACATAATACAAGAAAAGTCAAAAAATACACTTATTTAGTCTTTCCAAACTTGGCCTAAATCAATTCAAATGAGACAAAATTGGGTAAAAATAGTATTGTTGGCAAGACTATTATAAATTAAAATTATTATGATAAATATCGAGTGCCTTTCAAGCATTATTTAATATTAGAAAATGTATAAAAGATGTTTTAAAAATATTAAAAATATATATTAATTTTAATAAAAATATATTAAATTTAGTAAGAAAGATTTTATATTTTATATTTTTCATTTTTTACTTGTGCCACCTGTTAGAAAGACTGATAAATGTTGTATGTGTTGTTATTTTTATGGGCAATGCTTGATAGTCCAAATATAAGGTTGACTCAAATGACTCGAAATTTACATTGCCGATCATCTAGGCAAACGTCTAGCCGATCATCCAACAAGGAAGCTGATAGTCACGGTTGACAAAGGTAACAATCGCAGTAGACAATTTTTCACCCGATCGTCTGAGTCGACAACCGGCCAACACCAATTTAAACCATTCGAGCTACCACGCTTTTTCCAATTTTTATTTTTTTCTAGGCAACGAAAAGAAAAAAAAAAATTAAAATCAAGTCAACAACGGTCAATGTAATAATTGAAGAGGAGTTGAGGGGCAAAGTATTAGAGCAATGCCCATAAAAATGGGAAGAGCGAACTAGTCTTTTGAAAAGACGCAGATATTTTCGACTGCACAAGGTCAATCAACAACCCCCCTCCTCCATAACCATTTCTCTTCTTGGGTTAACTCTTTCTTCACACACACAAAGAAAGGAGAGGCCTCGGAGGTGGCAATGGCGTTGTCCGACAACTCTCGCCAATCTCTCCTCCCCAACTTCCTTTACTCCTCTTCCTCCTCCTCCTCCTTCGCATCATCATCATCATCATCATCATCATCATCAACGTTGTTGTCGAAAACAGTCAGCAATTATTCAGAGAAGAAGAAGAGCTTGATGATTCAGTCTCCGAGCGAGCCCCTTGGTAAGATAGAGATGTACTCGCCTCAATTCTACGCGGCATGTACAGTGGGTGGAGCCCTTTGCTGTGGCCTCACTCACATGGCCGTCACCCCTCTCGATGTTGTCAAATGCAACATGCAGGTCTCTCCTCTCTCTCTCTCTCTTTCTCAACTGCCACTTGCTTGATTTTCATTTTTTGATTGAATTTTGTTTTTCTCTAATGACATGATTCAAGTTTCAATTTTATGTTTGTATTTTTCATGCTAAAATTGGGAGTATAGTTTTTTTAGCGATGTTTTTTGAGTTTTTTACGAGATAAAAAAGATATAATGTTTTTGGAATTATTTTTGTTATTGAATAGATAATTGTGAGGAAAAAAAAAAAGACTGTTTGATATGCATGATAATGTGATTTTTTTAATAGTAAGGTTGAATTTTTTGATTTTTGGCCTTCTTGTAACATTTTGGCGTTTCTAGCCAAAAACCCTTTTGCTAAAGCCAGAGTTTTCCCATGACTAGCAATGTTAGAGACTCAATCTCTAAATTCAGCCATAGCGGCTGTTTAGGAAGTTGCTATTTTACTAACTTATTTTAGTTTTTAACTATTTTAAGTGGTTAAAATTTTTATGTTTGGAAAAATAGTTGGATTTTTTGTAATTGGATGTGATTTTTGTGAAAAAAAAAAGTGAAATGATTATAGGTTTGACGTAACATTTTGTCTTATTGAATATTTTTGCCTGGTTTGTCTTTTAATGTTATTTTAATAAAAAAAAAATCAAAAAAACTACCTCTCAAACACCCCCTATTGTGGTAAGAGCATCTTCAATGACTCTTTAAAAAAAGGCATGTCGACTATTATAGCTAGTCTTGTCTTATTTTACCTCATGCAACTACTGACTAGCTACTACATTAGTTATTTTAACAAAAAAAAATTCCAAGCTAGCTACATTTGAAAAGTTTTTGGAGGCTTTTTAAAGTATCTCTAATACTAATAGGCATTTTATCAATCTAAATATTTATTTTGCCTCGACTTTTTCATATTTCTAGATTCTACCCAACTTTGGAGAACAAATGGAGAATGTGTCTATCACTTAGACACATGTTAAACAAATTACAAATTTAAGTAAAATAATTGTGAATCAAATGATAAAGAGAAAATAACATAAACCTCTTTCTTTAAAATTTAAAAATTTTTATTTTTAAATTAAATATTCACATATACATGATATATAATTTACATGTATCCCTCATTTGTATTGTCTTGTCTTACTTCTTTTTTTTTTTTTTTTTTTGAAAATATTCCGTGCTAACCTGTTCATATTATATCACGTGCCCATATCTGTGCTTCTTAATATTACACAATTTCTGCCATAATAAACATAGCAGTAATATCTAGTCGCATTGACATTGTCCAATTTTCAGATTGATCCTGCAAAATACAAGAGCGTGACTTCTGGATTTGGAGTTTTGCTTAAGGAACAGGGAGTCAAAGGTTTCTTCAGGGGTTGGGCACCAACCTTGCTTGGTTACAGTGCCCAAGGTGCTTGCAAGTATGGATTCTATGAATTTTTCAAGAAGTATTACTCTGACATTGCTGGTCCAGAGTATGCAACAAAATACAAACCTTTGATATACCTTGCTGGCTCTGCATCTGCTGAAGTAATTGCTGATATTGCCCTCTGCCCCTTCGAAGCAGTGAAAGTTCGTGTCCAAACTCAGCCTGGCTTTGCCAGAGGTTTGTCCGATGGTCTTCCAAAATTCGTCAAGTCTGAAGGAGCTCTTGGGTATGAATATGATTCTCATTCAAAACGTGGCTTTCAATTAAGCAGTACTGTTGTGTTTATTTATTGGTTTTTTGTTAGAGGTTGTTGATTTGTGTTTTTCGTCTTATTTTTGCAGGCTTTACAAAGGGATGGTTCCTCTTTGGGGACGACAGATTCCATGTAAGCTGAGTAGCTGACATAATTGCCAGTTTATGCTCATTGCATTTTCCTAATCATTATGCTTTGAATTAAACATTTTATTTGCTTGTTATGGTAAGTTAGCACATACTAGAGTTCAATGCCCCAACGTCCGTGTTTTGGGGAAAATTATAGGGTTCCATGGTCGCACCTTATATGAGAATTAAAACTTTTTAAATTTTCTCTGGTGGCTGTTATTTCACATCTCTGAGGCATGGATTTTTAGTTTGATATTTTTTGATCCAATACGAAAATTTTAACATTTGAGTCTGTTCAATTTCCTTCAAACAAACAGTGATTCAAAATTCATACCAAAACTGAAATCCCAAATTTTGTGCTATTATCAGTCATTGGCAAGTGATTCATCTTTAGTTTGCCAATCTATGTTCATAATTTGCAGCACACCAGACTTCATTGACCTCATATATAAAAATTGATTGCATTAAGAGGTGTTTAAGAGGAAAAATAGGTTGCAGTAATTGAATTTAACTTGGTTATTCCATGTTAAATTATCATAGTTTGTTCTACCAGAGCGTCTACAGTGTATACTGAGTTATAATTTATGAACAGTTTAAATTCAAGTACTGTTGATTGCATTAAGAGGTATTTAAGAGGAAAAATAGGTTGCAATAATTGAACTTAACTTAGTTATTCCATGTTAAATTACAATAGTTTGTTCTACCAGAGCGTCTACATACAGTGTATATGGAGTTTGTGTGTGTCAATTTTCGACCACACTGTCAATCAAGCACTCAGCTGGAGAACACTGACAGAATAGATTAATCCCGAATGACCTGTCACAGAAAGAATAGATTCCGGCGGTGGTTCGTCCACCCGGGAGTACTCCGACGATTAAGTCAGTTATCTCTCAAAGATAGGAAAAGTGTTTAATTCACTATTCAGAGCATAAAAAGCATACCTTAGACCCATGAGGGTGTCTCTCTTTTATAGCCAACACAAACCTAGTCCCAATAGAAGTTTAGCTTCAATGGACTTAGAATTACTGCTAATCTTGGACTCCCAGTAAAATTGGGATAAACTCTCTAAGAGTCTTATCTTTACCCAAACTGAAATGCTCTCTCATTCTAGGACTTTTGTCCCTTATCCGCTTATTCCGGATTCTGGTATCTTCGCAGATAACCTCGGCCTAGCCGAGATCATCTCGGCTTCATGACCAGGACACGTGGCACCTCGGCTGGCACTTTGGTGACACCTTGGCCATGTGTTGTTATTCAAAAATTATGTCCCCACAACTGCCCCCTAGGTTCTATTGCCTCGGCATCTTGAGGTGATGGAACCTATATCATTCATTCCGTTAATCATGACCCCGGTTTAACTTCAGCTTGTAAATTTTTCTTAAAATTTCAATAAGTGTTAAACATGACCTCGGTTTAAATTCAACTTGTAAATTTTTCTTAAATTTCAATAAGTGTTAAACATGACCTCAGTTTAACTTCAACTTGTAAATTTTTCTTAAAATTTCAACAAGTGTTAAACATGACGTCGGTTTAACTTCAACTTGTAAATTTTTCTTAAAAATTTCAACAAGTGTTAAACCGATCTTGGCTTGAAAATTCCAACTCCCAAGCATCATTCTCCAGCCCTCTGCATGGCTTCCACCTACACCTTTGTGGACCTTATATAAAAAGTCTTTTACTTAGGCTGAGCTTTTCTCTTCTCGGACTTAATCATCTAGGTCGAGATCTTGTTTTCTGCAATCTGGGATTTGCTCACTTTAGGCTGAGCTCTTCTTTTCTCGGACCTAATCATCTAGGTCGATATCGTGTCTTCTGGGATTCTCCATACCCGACCTCCTACAAAGGCCGGTGAGAATGTCCCTTGGTCCCACCATGCTAAGGGACTACGGGAACCGTTTTCTGTCCCCCTTTTTGGGCACCTTTCTTGGCTGCTGGAATCGGTGTATCTTGTAGCGGGAACGGTAGCTGCATGACGTTGTTCTGTATTATGAAATTGATGACCGTTTGTAGGTCTGCCAATTTGTACGCCATTCCCTTCATCTCGTCGTCTATCCTCAGGCATCTATCTTTCCATACCTGGAGGTCGTCCTCGTTATAATACACGCTCCGGTCCGATTTCTTCGGTACACCGCCCTCTTGGCCGACGTCATTTTCTCCGTGATTCTTATCACGAGTCTCTTTGTTGCAGTTGTCTTCTTCGACGTCAAGGTCAATATGTTTCTCACTCTCAGTAGGAGTGTCGTCCCCAACCTTCTCTTTCTGTTTGTTGTTGGCCATCTATTCTCCTTTCTTTCCCACAGACGGCGCCAAATTGTGTGTGTCAATTTCCGACTACACTGCCAATCAAGCACTCAGCTGGAGAACACTGGCAGAATAGATTAAACCCGAACGACCTGTCACAGAAAGAAGAGATTCCGGTAGTGGTTCGTCCACCCAGGGGCACTCCAACGATCACATCAGTTATTTCTCAAAGATAGCAAAAGTGCTTAACTCACTATTCAGAGCATAAAAAGCATACCTTAGACCCATGAGGGTGTCTCTCTTTTATAGCCAACACAAACCTAGTCCCAATAGAAGTCTAACTTTAATGGACTTAGGATTACTGCCAATCTTGGATTCCCAGTAGGATTGGGATAAACTCTTTAAGAGTCTTATCTTTACCAAAACTGAAATGCTCTCTCATTTTAGGACTCTTGTCCCTTATCCGCTTATCTCGGATTCCGGTATTTTCGCAGATAACCTCGGCCTAGCCGAGATCATCTCGGCGTCATAACCAGGACACGTGGCACCTCGGCTGGTACTTCGGTGACACTTCGGCCATGTGTTGTTATTCAAAAATTATGTCCCCACAACTGCCCCCTAGGTTCTATTGCCTCGGCATCTTGAGGTGATGGAACCTATATCATTCATTCCGTTAATCATGACCCCGGTTTAACTTCAGCTTGTAAATTTTTCTTAAAATTTCAATAAGTGTTAAACATGACCTCAGTTTAACTTCAACTTGATTCCCAGTAGGATTGGGATAAACTCTTTAAGAGTTTTATCTTTACCCAAACTGAAATGCTCTCTCATTCTAGGACTCTTGTCCCTTATCCGCTTATCTCGGATTCCAGTATCTTCGCAGATAACCTCAGCCTAGCCGAGATCATTTCGGCGTCATAACTAGGACACGTGGCACCTCGGCTGGTACTTCGGTGACACTTCGGCCATGTGTTGTTATTCAAAAATTATGTCCCCACAGGGTCATAATTTATTAAGAGTTAAATTCAAGTGTTGGTTTTTTAACTCACTTGTGATTCCTGTGTTCTTGATGTGTTACTGTTGTTAAATTTTGATGGATAAGAGAGACAAATTATGATAATGATTCAAGCATGTACAATGTTACTGTTTCTTTTTTAACTATTTAGTTTTATGTCAATGATTTGTTGCAAGAAGACTTGCATTTCATCTCATAAACTGCCATTGCTAGTAGGCCTGATGACAAACAAATTTGGTATTTTTCAGATACAATGATGAAATTTACATCTTTTGAGACTATTGTGGAGAACATCTACAAGCATGTGATCCCAACCCCGAAGGACCAGTGCAGCAATACTTTGCAGCTTGGAGTGAGCTTTGCTGGTGGCTATGCTGCCGGTATATTTTGTGCTCTTATATCACATCCAGCTGATAACCTCGTCTCTTTTCTCAACAATGCCAAGGGTGCAACAGTCGGTGATGTAAGTCCAAAATACCTATATGCACAGATCTATATCTTAATTTCACTTTCATTTTTTTTAAAACTTATGTATATTTGGTTGTGTTATTTTGATGTCATTTGCATGTTGCAGGCTGTGAAGAACCTAGGCTTGTGGGGTTTGTTTACCCGTGGCCTTCCAGTCCGTATATTTATGATCGGAACCCTTACTGCTGCCCAATGGTCTATCTACGATGCTTTCAAAGTTTTTGTTGGACTGTAAGTCTCAACTTCCTATATTTGCTGGGTTGTTCTTTGCAAATATAAACATCTAATTTCATTTTTCTACTTTTTTAAGTTGAGTAATTCTCTTCAAAACGAAGAACTAATTTCAAAAATGTTACTGATTAACGCATCATTTTGGTGGCATATTTCGCATTAATTTCTATATGAATAATAGCTTTTTCCTTTCAAGTATGATAGGTGACGGAATTCTTGTTCCATCTAGTTTCTTTCTTTTCTGTTTTCTTGAAATGACACCGGGACTTTTTGCTCTTATTAGGCCAACTACTGGTGGTGTGACTCCTGCCCCGGCCACTCTGCCTGCAAAGATGTGAAGTTAGAGTCTATAATAGACAAATATGAAAGCAGTTCTGTTGGAAGAGATATTTAGGAGGTTGCTCTATTGTTCAGCAGATTAATAATTTTTAGGATTGGCGATATGCCTCTTTAGATGGAATTTGATGCGGTGGGAATTGTATTGTTAAGTAAACATAGTAACATCTTTTTGCATTGCTTTTTTATTTTAGCAGTTTTATCTCACATTTTTTTAGAGGATTTTATTGATTTCATCGTCTCCAATGTAAAATTGTAATTTGAAATATAATAAATCAATGATATTGCAATTAAGGTTGCACTTGGTCCCAGACACTTTACAGGTTTTGGCTGAATTTCTCAAAGAAGAAGTTAATAAAAATAAATAAAAATAAGCCGAAATAATAGCTATTGGACATGAGACCAAGATGAGGGGTCACTGCGGTGGTGCCCCTGCTGCGCTGTTCAAAGCGGCACCGTTTTTTTTTTGTTTTTTTTTTGTCTTTTTTTTTTTTTCTTTTTGAGGATTTCTTAAACTTTTTTTTTTTTTTCCCCAAAAAAAAAAAAAAAAAATTCTAAATCCTAAACCCTAAAATAAAAAACATAAATTTTAAGAATTAAACCCTAAACCTTAAAATAAAAAAAAATAAATTTTAAGAATTAAACCTTAAATCCTAAAATAAAAAAGAATTAATTTTATCCTTCAACCCTAAAATAAAAAAAATTAAGAATTAAACTCTAAATCTTAAACCCTAAACCCAAAAATAAAATAAAAATAAAAATTTATCCCTAAACCCTAAAATAAAATAAATAAATTTTAAGAATTAAACCCTAAACCCTAAATCCTAAACTCTAAAATATAAAAAACAAAAAATTATCCCTAAACCCTAAAATAAAAAAATAAAAAAATTAATCACTAAACCCTAAAATATATATATATATATATATATATTTAAGAATTAAAGTAAAAAAGTGACCAAATATAGGGATAAAGTGTAATTTATCATGCCGAAAAACATAGTGAGAATATGAAAAAAAAGAAAAAAAAAGAAGGTGAAACTGTGTCCCTTTTTCTTCTTTTCTTTTCTTCCTTTTTTTTATTTTTATTTTTCAATTTTTTATTTTTTGTTTTTTTTTTTTTTTTGGTTCTTCTGAGATAGAAAATAGTTAAATGACACTAAAATGGGCCTCAAGCATTTAAACATTTCATGATGATTGGGAGACACTAGCACCCAGCATAGCTCAATTTTAAAACAAGCTTAAACAATTGGGTCCAGAAAAGACTAGTAGTAGTAGTGGTGTGTTTGTTATGGGCTTTGATCACAAAAGCCCATTATGACTTCCTAAAAGCTAAAGCCGAATTCATATGTGCTTGGGAAGCCTGCTAGACAAATTCTTGGCACTTTTTCAATAAAAGGCTAAGATTGTTAACAGATGGTTGAGATTGAAGCAAATCAATAAAAGACGATGCAATTAGAAAGTTGTTAATATATTGTTAGCACAAGATAAGACTGAAGTAAATTAAAAAATTAAATCTAACAATTTTTAATTGAGGGGTTAAAGTGAAAATGGTCAATAGTTAAGTAGGGTAGTGAAGGTTGAGATTGAAGCAAATCAATAAAAGACGATGGAATTATAAGGTTGTTAATATATTGTTAACACAAGGTGAAGATTGAAGCAAATTCAAAAATTAACATGGTAAAATTTAACAATTTTTATTTGAGGGGTTAAAGTGATAATGGTCAATAGTTAAGTACGGTAAAATGCAATTAATCTGAAAAAACAAATACAATGATTCAAACAAACTATCTTGTTCACATATCATATTATTGTTGTAGAATTTCACATCTCACCAATGCAAACAAAAATTTACCATACACAAAACATAAAAATATAATTAATCACACAAATTTACGTAGTTTGGTACTAAATTGGCTATATCTATGAGAGAGAGAGAGAGAGAGAGAGATATTGAACCTCATAGTCCAGAGTAGTTGAACCTTTGCTTATTTCTGTGACCCATCATATTTTTTTCGCTTATTCTTTCGCTTATTCTGTAGGCTCCGTTTATTTAGAAAGAAACGGATGATAGAAAATGAAAATGGTAGAAAATGAAGTAAAAGAAAAAAAAAATTATTTTTTTGCATGCATTTGAATAGATGAAAAATTTTGTAAGAAAATAATGAGAAAAATATAATTACTGTATAACAGGGAGTTGTGAAAAAAAATATGGATAAAAAGAAATACAAAATAAACCTTGTTAAGATTTGTGAGAAAAATTAAATTTTCCTATATAGTTTGCAATAAAGTATTAGCCTAACTAACCAGTTAATTTGAGTTGTATGAAAAATTTTAGTTTCCATTACTTTTTAAGATTCCCTATCTAAATAAACAAATAATTTTTTTTTTTCCTTTCAATTTTTTGTATTTTCTATCTAACCAAACTAAACCTTATTTTTTTATTTTTGCTTCGTCACAATCTCACCAAAACCTATAACATGTCTATTTATAATAGTCGTCTCATAAAAATCTTAATTTTATAAACCAAATTCTACACATATTTAGGGATGATTTGAGAATTGATTTTTTTAGTGACTTTTTTATTTTTTACAAAAACACTTACACAAAAAAAATATAAATAAAGAGAAAGAGTTAACTTTTTAGTGATTTTTTTACGTTTTACAAAAGAATTATAAAAAATTAAGAAAATAAATTGACCTTTCATATTGACTTTTTTTATTTATTATTGATTTAGTCTATATTTTGAGCTAACAAAAAGAAAAAAATTGCCGTTTAAAAAAATGACACTTTCTTAGTGGCTGGTTTTGTGTGTTCCCTAATTTACATTTGCTTGGTAGGCACAAAGCATAAACTATTATCAACGTCATGGCAACAAATAGCATTGGAGTCTACTCGTAAGCATATATCTAATAAATACCTTAAATTATACATACACACAAATTTACATGCACGGAAATAACTTTGTTTTTGTAAAATAATATGCAAATAAATTGTTATACAAATTTTCATGATATCTTCATTTTCAATCATAACACTTATCATCGTCGTTATAATGTCAAAATTAACATCGATACATTATTCACTATGTATTTTTTATATAACTTTTATGCTTTCAAATAATTTTTCATGTTAATATATTATACAGATATAATGTGTACATATATATAGAAACCAGCTATATAATCTTCACAAAATACAACTACCATATTTTTTTTGTCATAAATTCTTTTATAAGCATATTTTTAACAACAATGCTATGTATCATGAAAAATCTTTCATGAAAATGGTCATGAAAGATTTCTCCCCTCGATCTGTCACAGATCTGGCTCTCTCTCTTTCTCCTCTCCAACAGTTCTAGGGCTTCTTCGATCCACCTGTGTGTCTGAATCGTGTCCTCGCGTGTCCAACCTCGTGTCCGACTCTGAAAAATTCTGAAAAAAAGGGGACACGTAGGGGAGAGTGTCGGACACATGTTCGTGTCCGACACTCATACGCAAGCCTCAGGGACGTGCCCGTGCTTCATAGGAAGCTTCAAAGCTCTCAACTTTTTATAAAATATCAACTCCATTAAATTAGAGGCATTACATAGCTTTACATAGACTTTAGAGACTTCTTAAACCAACTAGAATAAAAAAACTAGGGTTGGGGTTCTCAGTCATGGTAGTAGGTAGAATGAGACTCTCACTTTTTGGTGTTTGAGACGAAGAGGACACACTAGTGGAATCTGTCATGGATACAATACTACCAAACCCGCAACAAATTAGTGGAAATCACAAACCCGGAAGGTGGTAGTGAGATAACAGGCACAATGATCACTATAAAGACATACAAAATACAAAATTAAGAAACTTTTTTTTTTTTTTTTTTTTTTTTTGTTTTTTTTTTTTTTTTTTTTTTTTTTTTTTTTTGTTTGTTTTTTTTTTTTTTTTTTTTTTTTTTTTTGACTATTTCCTTAAGATATCAAATCACTCCTTGGTTTCTCAAAAAATTTTAAATTTTATTATCCTAATTCAAATACATATGATCCAAATGATCTAGGACCCATATCTATAGTTTTTTTTTTGATTAGCAAAGAAAAATTTCATTTAACAGCATGAAATTAAGAGTACAGGAAGATGACATGCATCGAGAGAGATTCGGAAGTATAAAAATACCCCTACTACTGCTACTCGCACCCATACAACCAACCCCTAAGCCTTTCGATTTTTTTAAACAAACAAGTTAAGAAGAACTTAACTGAAAATTAAAATACAAGAATCCCCACATAATAATTGTCCATAGGACCCATATCTATAGTAATCCCAACATCCAGTTGTTTGAATTAATTGTCTTTTCAGGGGAAATTTCTCAGTGTAAAAGCTACATACAGCTAAAACAATTAAATGGCGACCCCTATTGCATATTTTACGTTGATGTTTCTCTCTCTCTCTCTCTCACGCATGTTGAGCACGAAATATTTGTCATTTTCAAAAACAACTTCTGATAAAACTCTCTCTCTCTCTCTCTCTCTCTCTCTCTCTCTCTCTCTCTCTCTCTCTCTCCATATGTGTGTGTGTTGAGAGTATTTTTCAACCAAAAAGATGAAAGCGAGTTTAATTTATTACCACCAACTTGAAAATTGATTTTCATGTGACTACAAATCATGGGTACTGCTTCAAAATTGATTCATCGAACCAAAAAAAACTTCAAATTTTCTGTCTAAATTAAGATAAGGTCGCAGTATGAAGAACAATTTGTTCAAGTTGTTGTGTTTTGGACATCTTCACAGGAAATTTCCTTTTACTAGGTAGTTCTTAAGCAACCAAAACCAAACAAAAAGGTAAATTACACTGACCTTCCTACCGTTTGCAAAAACACTGATGACTTCATAGTTTTGACATAATTATACGGATTGAAATTAATACAAATAGTATGAAGAGATAGGGAGAAATAAGAAACAATATATTATTAGTATAGAAAAAGATGTCAACATTAGTTTCGCAACTATATGATTAATAAATTATTGACAAATAGAGGGTTGATTATAATGTGAATTAAAATATTAACAGAATTTAATATAATTATGTTAAAATTGTGAAATTAGTTGTAGTTTTTTTTTTAAAAAAACTCAGTGGAGGTTAGTGTAATTTATTTAAAAATAAAAAATCAGTCTAATATTGCTAGGGTCCAAAGTTGTACAATTGTTTGAGATATACGCGTAAATGAAGATTTATATTTATATGGAAAATATTTGAAACCCTCATAAAATTTTCACAATTTAACTCACAATGATATGATTTGATAAGTGTCAGTTTTTAATTGGTTAAACACT